AAAAAAAAAAAAAAAAAAGCAAAATATCATGTCTTACGGCAATAATTCTCCCCACCAGGAGGGACTTTAGATAAACGTTTACATGAAAATCATGTACTGATTACCCCTGTGCAACCAACTTCCTTGTCAGGCTGATTGTCCCCCTTCATATTCTTAGGGTGGAGCTAAGAACAGTCTGTACAACATCAGCATTCTTGGGTATGGCCTGTGGCAGTCACTTCCCCACTTCATGGAAGTACAGGTTGGCACATATACATAACATGATGATAGAAAACAAAATGTAGTAAATTAGATTCCTGAATTTAGGCTCCAAGTCTCCTTGTCGATACCAATAGATCTAGAGGAGAGAATGAATTTGTTACATTAGAAACATATTCTATTAACTGATAAGTAGCTAAGGATTCAGTGGCAAAGTAAGCAAGTGTTACACTGACAGTGTCTAGGATTATATTGCAGCCACCCCCTTTTAATCTAACCAAAAGGGGGAGAGGGAGTACACAGTTGGTTTTCATTACGACCTCCATCTAAGAACCTGTAAAAGCCACCTTGCTGTGACTGGTTAGCACTGCCCTATAGCAGAGGGGAAGACCTCACTACAGTGTAAGGATGGCCTAACTGACCTAGAGCCCTAGACATCTGGTTCCTGTCCCCAGCTCTGCCAGGTACTCTGTGGTTTTATTTTACACCAAAATCCAGGTGGTCACTGAGGCATGGAGACAGGCGAGCAGGATCTAAAGGTTTCTCTCAGAAAAGCCCCTGGCTACTTTGAGTGTTGGAGTGGGCTCCTATGACCTGGACACATGGAGCACTTCTCTGGGCTACAAAGAAGCATTCAGATGCATCTGTCCAAGAACCCTCCTCTCTGCAAGTTTAGTTGAAGGCTATACTGTTTGGGAAAACCAGCAGAGAAACTGCTCTATAACAAGTACTGGAAAGGAAGGGCTAGGTCCAATTAAGCATCGCAATGTCTAAACTTTCAGTGCCCTGAGCAGGGCCCAGAATCCTGGGTTTTAATTACTTACACTCCCACCACGCTTCATGGAGAGAGAAGCACAAACAGCCAGTACCCTGAGCAGGGAGCCACTACCTAGAGATGTGCTAACCTGAAACCCTGCTCTGTGCAGCATAAGCCCCTCACGTAGAGCTACAGGGCACATCTACACAAGACATTTCTTGTGGAGCTGCCTAATTAGCTCCACAGTAAGTGTCTCAGTGTTTACACGTGACTATTAGGCTGCAGTAAACTAAAACTCTGCTGCAAGTTAGTACTTATAAATACAAGTACCGTCCTGCAGCAGAGTTTTTTCCTGTGCAGCAACACGCATGTAGATGCTGACAGAGCTGGCTGAGGCACAAGTGTGCTTCAGTGCTGCCTGCTGGGTAGCCCTGCTCTGGAGTCCCCTCGTGCCCCAGCGAGTCCCTGAGCAGCATGTTGAGTCAGAGCAGCCCTGGACTGGCAGGCTGCTGTTGTCTTGGTACACATTCAAACGTGGAGTTTATTGCTTTGAATTAATTGCATGGGTAGACGCGCCCACAGTGAAGCACATCCATCTCTTTGGGATCCACAGCTAGGAAAGACCTGAAAGCAGGTGGCTGTACCCTCAAAAGGACCAAGCAGGATGAGCATTTAAAATATGGAGAGAGGAGGTGCTCTATCCCCCTTTGGATATCCTGCTACTTAAGCATGTGCCTAAAAAAATGAAGTCCCAGACTTAATCTCCCACCCCCAACCTAGCTTAATCAGTAGGCTGTAGACTACCCTAGAGGCACCTTCCGTCCCACCTGTTGAAGAGGGACTACAGTACAGGCAAACCTGTAAGAATCATGGGACTGGCAGGAGCACAAGGGGGAGCTGGACTGTAGCTAGCAATCTCTCCCCTTCTTCAGGCAGCACCCACACAAAAAAAGGCCTATGGAGCCTGTCTGGGTAGACTCCACCTTGAGCACCATAAGCCATTAATTTCTCAAATACAGTGGGTCTACATAGGCAGTTAATATGACTGAATATATTGTGGCTCAGTTTGAGCTGGGGTAGATTAATCCCAATGTCACTATCTACACATGCATTTAAGTGCAGTAATTTGCTTTTCTGCCAGATGCTACTTGTATCTGATGGGACTATCTGGCAGCACAGTAAAATTAGTTTACTGTGCCCTAATTGCCATGCATGTGCAGACTGTGATAACTGCAGCAGACTAATTTGTTTCACAGTAAAGTGTCTCGCATAGATGTGCCCTGCGTGAAAGAGCAAGTCATCTACAGCTACACAGCTTGTGGTTCTAGTTAGGACCAGTTTATATTTCACAAGCTAAATTAATACCCTTGTAGGCTATAAGACATGCCTCTGTCACTACGACTGTCACTTCTCAGATGCTCCTGTAGACTTCCACCCCTCATCACAAAACACTCTTTACAGAGTGAGACTGGTACACTGTGTGTCCAGCAATGGGAAGTGACCAGCACTGAGCTTACTTTGCAGACACCAAGATTCAGCTGTGTTAATAAGCTATTAACAGTTACAATAGAGTAGGGTTTTTTCTTCAATACTCCCCCTGCACCTGGCCACCCACCCACCCACACGCATACTAAATTTAAAGTAAAAGCCAGTGCCAGGAAAAAGTCTTAAATATTTGATGCTAACAATAACTCTGCCCACTTACCTCTCCTTCCTGTACCTCGTACAGGGAGTCACTGGCTAAGGCAGAAGGAAGTCTGTTCTTGCCTTTTGTGTGAAAAAGACACCATAGTGGGGTGGGGGAAGAAAGTGGGATGTCATACTATGTGACCTGTACCGCCACTATAGCAGGGGGAAATACCTGCTACAGCACTTATGAAGGCCTATAGGGAAAACCCTGCAAGGACCAATTGAGGGACCTGAATCTCTTTGGCCTCTGCAAGAGAAGGCTGAGAGGTGATCTTGTGCCAGTCTACAAACTCATGGGGGGCAGGACAACAGAAGCTAGGGGATATGATGTTTACCAAGATGCCCATCAGGGTAACTAGAAACAGTGGCCACAAACTGAAGAAGAACAAATTTAGATTGGATATCAGGAAAAAGTTCTTTACAGTAAGGATTGCCAAAATATTGAATAAGCTTCCAAGGGAGGTGGTGCTGTCCCCTTCCTTGGGGCTCTTCGAGAGAAGACTGGACAAGCACCTGGCTCTTTCCTGCCCAGGGCAGGGGAGATCAGACTCAATGGATCTAATAGGTCCCTTCTGACCCTAAAAATCTATAAAAGTACAAGCCCAGTAAATTGGAAGGGTACTAGATATCGAAATCCTGTGGCCTGGATGCATGGGAGGGAGTAGGACAATGGGCAACAGTTAGAACAACGGGGTGGAAGGGAACAAAAACCAAGTTTATCCCCCCCCCACCACAGCAGGATAATTGTTTTCATGTGCAGGGTGTAGCACACTGCAGTAACAGGACACATGTTTTAGCCAAAAAGTAGGTCATTTATCTCAACTTTAATGGGGACTGGCAAATATCACATATGCCAAGTCAGTCTATTTAGAGGGCATGTAAAAAGAGTGTGCAAAGGAGGATCTATTTAATATTATAGAAACACATGCACAATACTTACAAGTATGCCAGCAGAAATGCAGCACAAGGAGATGCAGAAAGCAAAAAATATATTCACTGGTTTTGGAGGTAGTTGAGGGAAGACAAAAGCACTGATCAGAGTCAACTGTAAGGAAGAACACAGAGAGGCTAAGTACTTTCACACGGATTAAAGACCCACAGTCTTTTCTTACAGGGCTCAGGGAAGCAGGGGTATGAAGTGATGGAGGAAACACGCTCCATCACTCACCCCTTCCCCCATTAGGGCTGAGAACTGTGGATAAATTGTGGAGATGGGGGTATGAAAGTTTGGAGGACCTAACAGTATAAATGCCTATCACTAAAGAGGAACTATCAGAATCTCTCAGTATTAACCCCTACGAGTGTAAGAGGCTTCTGGGGCATGGGGGAAGGGTAGATGGTAGGTCCTAGAGTCATTTAAGGAGAGTTTCTGGGGTAACTTAAAAGCCACCAAAACCCACCACCAAATCATGTAAGAGCCACCATCATGATATAAATCTTTCTGGTAACAGAGACCCAACTGTAGAGAAGATGCTGCTAATTCAGGGGCAGGCAAAATATGGCCTGCGGGCTGGATCCGGTGGGCCAGGCACTATCTTCCAGCCCGTGGCACTGACCAGCAAACTGAACCTTGCCCAGCCCTTCTTCCCACAAGTGTGGGAGCAAGGTGCCCACATATACACCTCCCTGCCCCGACGGTATCGACTGCACCTTACTCCCACCCTTGTGGGGGCCAGCACACAGCTTCTGGGTGGGCTGCTGCCGCCACTGCTGCAACTGCCAGGGACCTGCTTGGCTTTCCCAGCATCCCGCTCACTCCAGGCAGGAGGATGGGAGCACGAGGCGTGGGGCTGGTGCTGGCAGCAGCCCCGAGCTCATGTGCAGGGTGGTGGTGGCAGCACGGAGCTCAGGTGGGTAGGGGGTATGCCCCCCCCGCACACACTCCTCCCATGGCGCACAGCCCCGCAGACGGCGGCAGCGGGCAGGGGCACTCGTGCAATGGCAGGGACTTCTGGTGGCCAAGGTCACAGGTGGGATTTTTGTTTGCAAGATGACCAGGGGGTGGGGCAACTGTCAAGGGGGCGGGGTTACCCCTGTGGCCCTTGAAGGCTCACCAAACCCCACTGAGCAGCCCTCCCGCCAAAATAACTGTCCCCCCCGTACTAATCCCTCACAAAGGCAGGCATGGTATGTTGATGCATGCCTGGTTAGCAAGGGCAGGGTAGGTAGGACCTGTTCAAACCAAGAAGGCCACTCAGAAGATCAGAGTGGGACAACTGAACATTTTAAGTAGATCAGAACTTGCATCTCTGCAGCAGCCAATTCACTTTCAAGGAGCTCGTCACGATCAAAGCTTTAAATAAGCCCCGGTGATAATAATCAAGGTCGCTTCCCTCGGACATACTCTACCAGAGCATCAAGCTGGGAAGCAGGATTCAGCCCCCTGGCCCAAGGCTGCTGCTGGAAGGAGCACTGACGCTAGATGTGCTCAAGGCACAGCCTTGGAAGTCAGGCTTTCCAGCAACCATCTGGGTTCCCTGAATAGTTGGTCTTCTGGATGCAAAATAGCATCTGGGCTCTGTAAAGTCCACTACGGACCACCATGGATCAGGGGAGTTCCTGCCTCACAAAAAACTTGTTCTTTTTCTTATTTAAGTTCCAAGAAAGCATAATTAGCACAGCATCATGTCTTATAAAAAGATAAGCAGTAAATTTCAGCCAGTCCAAGTGGTGCTGAAAAGTTTTCTCCTGTAGCATTCTGGAAGGTTTTGGGGTGTTGGGTTTTTTTGTTTTTTTAAACAAAGCCGTAGAACAAGTTATCAAATTAAAATTTGCTAGAAGAAAATTGTTTCCTGTTCCCAGTGGCAAATGACTAGGAAGCCAGCATGTACTTCAATCCTAAAACCTGGTCCTGTTAATGTCTGACTGCAAAATAACTTCAGTTAAAAAAAGTTAACAGGATTTTATCGCTACACCTTAGGGAAAAAGAGAAACATGGTTTGGGAAGGTGAATACTTACTAGAAGCAGCAAGGATGTGATGATACCAACAACCAAGTTGATTATTCTATCCTGGGGTGGGGGGAAAAAAAAGAGAAAAAAAAAACAGTAACACCTGATCATTTCATTTATGAAGCTGTCATACTAGTAGTGGATCAAACACCACGCAGAGATCAGGAAGCCATTCTGCAAGGTCGCACACATCACACAGTTTCTGCTGCAAAGACATTACAGTTTAACAGACTCATTCCATCCTTTCCCCGCAGGAAGATCTACTTTGAATCATAAAATTAGAAAGATATAGGGCTGGAAAGGGATCCCCATAGATTATCTAGTCCAACCCCCTGCATGAGGCAGGATCATCCCTATACAAACCACCCCATACAAATCCCCGCTCTCCCCCTGACCAGCAGCAGCCCGAAGCCCACATGTGACCTCCAACAGCGTACAGCCCCTGGCCTGCCCAGCCCAGCCCAGGCAGCGGTGGTTCCTTCCAGCTGCCCACCACTGGCCCCAGCCCTGCCGTACTGGTGGGGACCCACACGGACTACCCCAGCCCTGGCCTGGCCTGCCCCACTCATGCTCCAGGCTTGGCCCGGCACAGCAGACCAGCTCCAGGCCATCTGGAACCTGCGCACACAACCGCGACCCACCCCGCGCCTGCTCTGAACTGGCCTGCCCACGCTGAGCAGTGGCCAGGCAGACGCTGCTGCTCAGTGTGTAGGAAGAGTGAAAGTGGCCCCTCCCATTCGCTGCTGCCAGGAGCTTCTTGCTGCAGCTGCCCGGAGCCTGCCCCCGCACTGCCTTGCTGCTTCTCTCCACTGCCGTCCCCGCTGCCCCCCAGCTGCCCTGCAGCAGCAGCACAGAGGAGCGGCAGGGCAGCCCGAGTGCAGGCTCTGGGCAGCTGCAGCAAGAAGTACCTGGCAGTGCCAAGGGGGTGGTGGGGGTTTGCTTTTCCCCTCCATTGAGTGGCAGCTTCTGTCCAGCTGCTGCTCTGTGTGGGTGGGTGGTCTGGAGCAGGGCCAGCAGCTAGGAGTCATCACCACCCGGGCTGCCTAGAAAGGCAATCCAGCTGCACAGCCGCCTCAGCCCCACTGCGCGCCCAGGGGGTGGCAGAATGCGCCACTGGCTGGATGGAAGCAGGGCCAGATGGGATGAAGGGACCCACCGCAAGCTAGACAAAGTCCCTCCATGGGCAGCATTTTGCCCAGCCCTGATTTAACTTCTTAATAAAAAACTACCAATTGAACCGCAACTGATAACTCCACATTCCTCTAGCAATCTTCTCCCTCTGCACTGAGCACGAGACCCGAGGACCATCTCAGTGACCGTCTTGTTTCTGTTCCCGACAGTTTTGCAGATCCTGACAATTTTGCCCTGCTCTTTGAGACCCAGATGCAGTTTCTTCATGCACATTAGCAGTGGGATTTCTGTTACTTTCCAGGCAACTGCACTTGTGTAGCCCGACACCTGTGGGATGCAGATGCATCACTTGTGCTGCAGCACTCCGACTTAGCAATGATGCATGCCAAAAGGAGAACCCAGCTTGACTTGGATCCTGGGCAGGTCTCGAGAGGTCACAAGGGGATATGTCCGAACATCTCTGTACTTGGAAATGGGTTACATTTGGCTTCAAAGTCCAAGACACATCCGTGGAAACACAACTAGTCTGCAGAGTCACTCTGCAGCTAGATCAGCACTTCAAGAGCATACAGAACTGTCAGATTAAGATGTAGAATGAAACCTTCAGGCTGAAGAATTAGGAATACAACCTGAAGTGAAAGGTTGGATGTTCAGTTTGCGAGAACTGGAGATCAAGGCCCTGCGTCTCTCCCAGATCATCTGATCATCACTCCAAAGTCAACGGCGGAGCTGACTCTGTGCCACAACCGTACAGCCTGTCACCAGCGACGTTGGAAAACAGAAACAAACTCAGAACTCCGGTCTTTGCTAACCTTTCTCCTCTCACTTGGCCGCTGTTCACGACTGCACTCGCTTAGGATCTAAAATCTGGGTCACGTCAAAGGGGACCTTTTTTTACCCACCCTTCTTCTGTACCAAATCCTTAGACGCCCTTCTGCAGCTGTAAGTGGGTGAATGAACATACGCCTCTGAATCTCGGCCTTCCATTTAAGAGTAGCCCTGCAGTAAAAAGTGTCCAGTGGAGCTGTATCACCAGGACCTCATTCAAGTCCTGGCCAAAAAGCACGTTACCAGCCAGTCGGTGTCAAATGCCAGGACAGGAGGCCAGTGGCACCAGGTTAGCGCCGCCTAGCTTTTAGTACCACCTGCACGGACTTACCGTCTTTTATTCCAACACTGATCTTGCTTGTGAATTTCTAGAGTGGTCTGCTCTTTCCCCACGGTGCATCCAGCCGTTCTCCGTGCAGCAAAGCTCTCCACAGTCTCCCAACTGGATCCCCTGGGCCCCCACCCCCATTTCTGTCCCTACATCTAGATTCCTTTCTGCCCTCAAACACAGCACACTATAGTGGTTATGCCATTAGGGCACTCAGACCAGAAGAGGGCTTTGGATAAATCGGACCTATTCAAGCAGCCCAGCCCATGTTCACAGAGTGGGATCAGGACCTAGAATACATTTAAGCTCAGTATCAACAGCAGTTGTAGCAGGGGGGACCAGGCAGGCGCCTCTGTAACTGAAGTGGCTACCTTCGTCTTCCCTGGCTATTTTGGTTAAACACAGACACGCACACTATTCACTTCACCGTCAGCACAAGTACCTACAATCAATGTATTATCTACCTAAGATTTAAATTTTATTTATTTTTTTAACTGCTTTGCCACAGAGATGAGACTATTTAAAAGCTTTTATTAAAATCCGAAACAAAAAAGTGCTAGACAGTATTTCTGTGGGGCCTATGAGAAAGAGTAGTATGTGCAGAGAAACAATTCTCCGCTCTGCTGCAGCCCCCAGTGGGTATCTTTGTTCTGGGTCTGGCATCACCCTGAGCTGAAGTCCTCAGCAGTGAAAAGGAACAAGGCTGCTCATTTCATTTGCTTCTTTCATGCCGAGAGCATTCATCTCCCAGATTGAAACGAAAAACCACAACATGATACTCAGTGTGTGCAGCTGGGGAGTTGTGGGGAAGAAGTATAAGGGAGAAAGATAAAGATAACACCATGTTCTCAGGAGCTGTAGCATACAACGCAAGCTGTGTACCCATAAGTTTAAAACTTGAATGATTAGGTGATGTGACCCTTTCTGAACAAAAGGGAAGCCCCAGAAAGGGCATTAGTTTGTACCAGAGCAGGACTTGCAAGTCCCAGCGGAGATTAAGACACCACTCTACTCAGTGCCACACAAACTCATTGGAAGAGGCAGTTCCTGCCCCCAGACGTTCAGTCTAAACTAGGGCTAGAGACTGAGCATCCCATGGGGCAGATGCAGCCTACGAAGCCAGAGTGAACAGCCCAACGCCGCTGAATGCTCCTGCTGCTCTTCCTCTCCTTCCCCCAGCAGCTGAATTGAGCAACAGGGGAAGGAAAGTACAGGCAGCAGCAGCATTCACCTGTGCAGACAAAATCAGGAGCTGAGCATCACTGTCCAGCCCCCTCCTCCTGCCCCCACCAAATTCAGCAGCAAGGAAAAGAGGCGATGAGCAACAGCAGCAGCAGGGCTCAGAGCTCCATGAAAAAACTGAGCAAACCAGGACGTCAGCAGGGGCTCAGACTGAAGCCACAGCTTTCATGCTACATGAGGAGCAGCAGTGGTGCTCACTGCCCGCGGCCCTGGAGCTGCACGAAAACCACCGAGTTGTTTCATGGCTGGCGGGGATGAGCACGGCTGCTGCCACTAAAAGCTTCTTCTCCCTGCCACTGAATTCAGGGGGGCAAAAAGGGGGAGAGGGAAGCAAAAGCAGCGACAGCTCAGCTGCTGCACCCCAGCGCCCCATGGAAACTTTGCAGCTGGAAGGGGAAAGGCAGCAGAGACCCATTCTTGGCCACTGCACTCATGCACCGCGCAGGACTGGCTACAGCCCCTAAAAATTAAAAAAGCAATTTCAGAGGAAGCCCCACAAGCTCAGGAGCAGAGCAAATCCCACTCCCACTGTGACACTGGTAGGTCACTGGGAAGCACAGGAAACTGAGGTACGGTACAGCTGGGCAGTATTCATCTGTCCTCTCCTCCCATGGGCTGAAGAGCCCACAGTCCCCTCACCATCACCAAGAACCTGGGAGCTAGTGTGCTCCTTACAGGTTAATACTCATCCACCCCAAGGCCTGGTGCTAAGAAGGGCACCTCATCGCTCAAGCTCAAGTCCAGTCCAGGCAGTTTCAATCCCTCCTCTGCCATGCACAAGTCCCTAGCAGGTGTGAGTTTTTTTATACAAAAAAAATACTGCAGAAAATTGAACATTACTTTGCATTCATAAGCCTAAAATTATGAAACATGTGATGTATGTTTGCCTTTCTAACACTAAAAATGCTTGATATTAAGATATGCCAAATATAGAACTGAAACAACACATTTCTATGCAGCTCTCAGCCCATTTCTGGTATCAAGATCTGGCCCACTTGTAAAAAAAAAAAAAAAAAGAAAGAAAGGAAAAGGTTGAGCACCACTGGTCTAAGAAGTGGGTAGGGAAAAGCAATGGGGGCAGGGAGTGACTTAGCCAAGGACAACACAGCAGGTTGGCCACCAAGTCAAGAAGATGCAACTCTATGTCTGTCCGCTCTGCCCAGTGTCTTCTCCCCAGGCCACATTAGGAAGTTTGGGATGCTACCTGCCAAGGGTGTATGGACATGCTGTATGCAGAGCGAGGTGAAGCGAAGTAGCTCCCCTGTTCCCATGAATGAAAGAAGCCGAGTCTCAGCAGAGAAAAGCCCTTGGGGACTAAAGGAAAAAAAAACAAAACAAACAAATAAAAACAGCTCACCAGTGGGAAGAGAGCACATATGATCAGAGCAGAGGTCCACTGGATTTCGGTGGCCTTTGCTGCCCATGAACCCAGAGGACAACAAAGACACATCATTGCAATTCCCCCACTTTGAGAACAGGAAAAAAATCTTAACGTTACGCCCTAGAGAGAGACCAAGATTTACCAGGAGCC